CCCTGAAGATTTCATTTAAAGTCAAATCTGATGACTATGACCATGGGTCAGAATTGTCAGGGCTATCGAATGGTGTATGATTCGACCACTTTTACGTCTGCTGCATTTTTGCCCTTCCGGCACCTTACGTTATTTTCGAGTTGTTGTAAACTAAACGGTATACTTTCAGTTGGCATTGTACCTCTTGCTGATGTGATTTGTAGAATGACAAAATTTGGTAATTGTTTAAGAATATTTTCTTTATTGTTCTTTATTTCTTCTATTATTGTTCTTTCAGTTCTTTCCTTTTCTGTTTCAATATATTTTTTGAGTTCTTCTTTTTTTGATGTTTTATTATCATTAGAAATATTTCCTTCAGTTAATTGGGTTTGTTCTTTTTTCAAGGTTTTACTATCATTAGAAATATTTTGCCATTCAATAATTTTAATTTCACATTCATTTTGTAATTTTTTTAAAGAAGTTTCTATTTTACTAACAATTTTTCGTTTTTGAACAATTTCTGTATTCTTTTGAATTGCTTGTATTTTACATACTTTAATATTATAATGTAATCGATCCCTATATTCATTTATTAATTTTTCTTCAAATGATTTTGATTTAGTATCACGTTCATAACATTCATCGACTTTTTCTCTAAATAATGTTTCTTTATCATCAAAACTATTTTCAATATCAGCATCCATGGTATATGGAATATCAATAAGTTTCTCTTGTTTTAATATTATTTCATCTAATTCAGGACGAAACTTTCCTTCAATTAAATCTTTCATAATCTTTGTTATAATTTCACCAAGTTCTGTTCTTTGATTAATTTCTTTAATTGAATCAATCATAAGAATATTATTAAATAAATTAATTGTTGTTCAAATTTCTGTTGCTTTTTGTGCCCAATCGCTAAGACTTTTAAATTGTTGATTTGGTGAATTTGTTTGATCAAATATAATATTTCATAATTCTTGAGTTTCTTCTGCAAATTTAGCATTTGTTGTTGATTTTTGAAATAATTCTTTATTATTATTATAAACAGAATCTTTATTAAAAGCTGTTAACACTAAATAAAAGGCTTTTTCTTCTTTAAAATCTAATACTTCACTTAATTTACAAATATCTTTTAATTCATTTGATATATATTAGTAATCATTTCTTTTTGTAATCCAACATCTAAATTCATCATATTTCTTAATATAAACATAATAATTGGACGAGAATTAAACATTTTTAATTGATTAGCAGCAAATAAACTAACAGTTAAAATTTTTTTCATTGATGAATTTAATTCTCCATTTAAATTTATAAGCATAATTTGTGAACATGCCATTGAAAATACCGTTAATGTTTTATCATATTCTTCATTTCCTTTTTCAATAGATAAAAGTCCTTCAGTATCAAGTACTAATAATTTACTTGAATTTGGATATTTTGTTTTAAAAAGTGATGCATATAAACCTTTTGTACAACGACCAGCACTCATTTGAAAAATTACTACCAAATAACATATTTAAAAGAGTCGATTTTCCTGTACTTTGTGGTCCAATTACTGAAACAACAAATAATAATTCTTTATCGACAAGACCAAGTTTCATATCAAGTCCTTTAAAACTATCAGAAACAATTTTTGAATTAAATTCATTATTATCACCATCAATAATTTCAATTTCATTTCCTTTTGTTATATATTCAACATATGAATTAATATGATGAGCATATTTAAATTGTTGTTTATTATTATTATCTTGTTTAGCTAAAAATTGTTCATCACCATAAATAGCTAATAATTCTCTCATAAAAAAATCTTTATTAATCGTTTTATTATCGATTAATTTTGTATTTTGTTTTTTTTTCATATTCCAATTTGAATTATTATTTTTATTATTAAGTTCTTCAATAACTTTTGTACATGCTGCTAATTTAATTACAATATTATTTCATTCTTGAAATAATGGAGATAAGATAGGACGTTGGCAAACACTTACTCGTTTATCCATTTCATTGATTAAATGAAAATCTTGTTGTATAAATAATTCATTATATTCATAAACTAAATCATTTGGAAACGTCGATGCTTTATTTTTCGAAAAATCCTCGATTTTTTTATCAATTTCGGTTAATTTAGTTTGTTTCATTTCTGGATCTTTTCCAACAAGTTCAACTTTTTTCTTTCGTTCACATTGTATTTTATTATTTGTATTAACATGTTTAAATAAAAATAATTCTATATTGTCCATATTTCTATCAATTTTTTCCAATTGTTTATCAATATTGATAGAAAATTTTTTTGAATTATCATCTTGAATATCAATATGAATATCATTAAAAGTTTGATTACATATATGATTTTCAATTTCCATATAAACATTGTAATCTTCAGGTCTTAAACTATGATTATTTGATATACAAGATTTTTTTACCTATTCCAGTTATTTCAAAAATATTTTCTTTTAAAATTTCTAAATTTGAAGCAAATGCCGCATTATTATCTTCAATTTTTGAAATTGATAAAATATGTTTTATTTCAATATTAGTAAATTTTTCTTTTTGCTCATTTGGTAATTCTTGACAATCGCGTACAATTAAAATTATTTGAAATTCATTTAAATTAAATGATTTTAACATTTTAAATATTATATTAATATCATCATATGATTTACATCGAAGAAGAATTCAACAATTTTGAATAGGCATCATTGTTAAAAATATTTTAAGAAGATATTTTTGTTTTCGAACATGATCATGAACATCAAATAGAGTAAAACCACAAGAAAATTCTTGTGTAGAAAATATTATATCAATGCCATCATTTATCATTCCAATTTTATTTGTAATAAATTTTGTACTATAAATTTTGTTTAGAAGAGCACTCTTACCAATAGAATTTGAACCTAATGAGATGACAAATGGACAATCAATTGCAAAAAGATGTGAATAAGCTCGAAGTGGTATTTTAAATATTAATTTTTCATTAATTATCCATTTGTATGCAAATGGTAGAGCAATACCAAGTTGAGTGAATAATGAGAGACGATGAATTTGATCATGTTTATATTTTTCAATCATGCATACAAATATGGTTTTATAATCCATTCCATAAACTGATTCCATATAGATCAATTCCTTTTTTGAATTTTAATTATTATATAAGGTAACATGACATCGAGAAGTGAATTACCATTATTATTATCTAATACTGTTTTAATAATTTGTTGAAAATCATCAAAATTAACAGGTTGTATTATGGAAAATAATTCTTCTGAATAATTTTCATTATTTCCAAACATTATTATTTGAAGATGTTGAATATTTTTAAATTTTTCATCATCTAAATTATTAATGATATTTTGAATGATTTCATTATTATCAATTTCTTCTATTAATATTGGTACATGTTTTTTAATCATTTTATCTGCTACAATGATTAGAGCTTGTTCAATTTCATTTTTAAAAAGACATTGAGCAAATTCCATATACACTGATTCTTCCATGGCTTTAAAATTATTATCTCTCCAAATCTTATTCAATTCAATTTATATTAATTCTGCATACTGTTTATCTTTAGATGATAAAGTAACAATATTTTCTGTATTAACAGTTATATTTCTAACATTTTCATTAGCAACTAATTCTGATTTTACTGTTTTATAATCATTCGGTGTAAGTTCATCTTCTATTAACTGGAGTCCTTCTGGAAAATTTGATCTTAATTGTAAGACTATCTTATCTATATCAGTAGTAGTAAAATTATATTTACTCAATATAGTTTTCATTGTAACGTCAACGGACTCTGATGATTTAGTATTATTTGATTTTGTTGATAAATTTGAACTCCAGATTGTTTTTATCTTTTCATTTGCTTGAATATTTTGGATGAGTCGTTTCATTTTTATACCAACCAGAATATTTTCGAAAAAATCATTAACAATATCAGAAATATTCTCATTATTGTTTTCAAAAAGTGTTAATATAAATGATTTACATTTTGTTTTGTCAACTTTTGATAAAAAATCTAATGGTTCAAGCAATTTGATGATCTCACTTTTAAATTCGTCATGTAGAGGATCAACGTGTTCAACCTTTTTAGCTTTTAAAATTTGCTTATCGTATAAATAATACCACTATATTACTTCCTGTTTTTTGTCTTCACATTTTCGAGAATATGAGGTTCCAGAAAAAATTATGTAACAGCTTTAAAACTCATCATAGAATGAATAAACTATAGTGCGTTCGATGGCCCACACTTTGCTCTATCTGACACACTATAAATCAAAAAAATCAAAAAGTTTGACGAAAACTAGCTTTTTAGGAAAACTTCTTTTACGTTTTTCTCATAATATGGATTTTTGTCTTCACATTTCCGTATTTCCCAAATTTCTCCACCATTTTAAATGCTAGAAAGCTGAGGTTGGTCCTAAAATGAAGGGAATGATCAGCGCTACAATTTGACAGAGTCGAAATTTTCGATTTTATGTTTAATATCTCATGAGGTTCAACTATTTTATAATATACACCCTATTCTTATCATATCTTATAAAGTAAGCTAAAAACAAAAACGATACTGCAACAGAAAAAATATCGGACTCTGTCAAGTTGTAGCCCCGGATCTGGGCTGGGGGGAATTTTCTCATTATTCATGAAATCATTTTTGAAATTAGTAAAATCTATTTCTATCAAATAGTCTTTGATTGATTCTAAAGCCTCCATATCTTCATTGAATAATCTTTCAGCTGTGCTGATAAAATCTAATTCATCATCGACTTTGTACTTTTCCCAGAGCGATGATAATTCGATTTTGAATTGATAAAAGATGTCCTCGTCTTGAGCTTTAACGTCAATTGGCGCTGGTGGTTTATTATTCACTGTACTGCTAAAGGTGTGAGCGGACTGTCTCGATAATTTGGAATGCCAAATCGTTTTTAACTTTTCATTTAACTGAATTTTTTCGATGAGCTGTTTGATCTTTTTACCAGTGAGAATATCTTTGAGAAAATTATAAGCAGTAACTGAAATATTTTGATCATTGCTGTTGAAAAGCGTTAACACAAACGATTCAGAATTTGTTTGATCGAATTTTGATAAAACGTCTTCTGATTGAAGCAAATTGTTGATCTCACTTTTAAATTCGTCGTATAAAGGATCAACAAGATCAGCTTTTCTGACTTGAGAAATTTCTTTAATTTTATCATTGTTTATGAAATCATTCTTGAAATTTATAAAATCTTTTTCTAACAGATGGTCTTTGATCAATTCGAAAACCTTCACATCTTCATCAAATAATCGTCGTGCTGTACTAACAAAATCTAATTTACCGTCGACTTCGTACTGCTTCCAGAGCGGCTCTAATTGATTTTTGAATTGATTAAAGAGATCGCCGTCTTCTGGAACTTTTGTTGCCAAATGAGCTGATTTCCAAATTTTATTGAATTCAGGGTGATTCATAAATTTTTTCTCAAAAATGTATTCCTTATGAACTAACAATTCTTTAATATTCTCTAATGCTTCCATGTTTTGATTATAATGCTGAAGGACGACTTTCTCGAAATCCAGTTCTTTCAGCGGAACTGAATGCTCAACCAAGAGGTTGTTGAGTACAGTTTTGAACTTAGTAAATAAATTATCATTTTCAGCCATCGTTGATTTATTTAAAGATTATTTTAATCTATCACGGAAACCACCTTCTTTATACCTAAAATTTAATTGTTGATTCAATTTATGCGTATGTATAGAGTTCGTGAATTGAACCATGTTAGGAAGCGTAGAAAATCTCATTCTCTGACGTAATGTTCTCGTTCTCTGATGTAAATATCTTTGTTAATAAAATATGAAAACATAATTCATTGTTGGCACTGACACAAAGGAGAATACAAGTTACGTATAAAACGCTACGTAACAACTGGAGGTTCTACTCATTGAACTCTTGGATTCAAGTAAGTGTATAAATTATTAGTTAACAGTCCTTTGTGAGGCTGGACACCCGAAAAACAACAGCAGCTCAACGGCAACCAGCAATTCATCAACACGGCCAACAGCAAGAAGGGAAGAATCGTCAACAAGAAGGTCAGAAACAAATGGCATTGAGTTTGCAGAATTTGTTATTATCAAGTTTAACACCCTCAACGACATCAGAACTCCAATCGTTTTGCGAATTACTACCCTTCACTGGTGACGTTGGTCAAAATGTAGTCCATTGGCTTATGGCTTTCAATGAAGCCTGCTCAACAGCTGGCATTGACGAAGATCAACATCGATTATGGCTTCGGTTCAAATTACTTGGTGGACCAAAATCATGGTATCGTCTAAAGCAGAAAACATTACTGAGTTACAACTGGAAAAAAGTACAAATGGCCCTCATCGAGACATTTGGTACATTCAGTCAAATCGAGCAAGCATCCGAAATCTTGAGAAGTCAGATTGCATCACATGAAACGGAAAACGCATTGGCAGAATTCCGGTCAGACAAAGTTGCAGCAGCCGTAGATAATCTAATACAAATCCACAATCCGCAACACCAATTCAGTAAAGCTGCACCTACCACTGAGCACACTATTAATCAATCAGTAGAATCTATTGATCCACAGCCTAAATCGGCACTGCAACCGAAACAACAAACAGCAACAACACAACCAACAGTGCCTCCAGCCACAACGATAACAAATAAAAAGCGAAAAGCACCATCTACAAAAGGTGCTTCAAATGCAACATCAAAAATCACGGAGAGAATCATCATCGAAAAAAGTCAAAGTGATGACGTTGAAGAGGTTAAAACGCCTGGACATGAATATGCGGATGAAGAAGACGAAGCCCATGTTCACCATGAAAATGGTAACTTTTTAACTGCACTAGTATTCAATGTCGCTGATACAGCGCCAAATATTGTGGAGAAAATAACAAACCTATTTACAACCAATAATGATGAGAAAATTGAAGATGATAAGAAAGAAGACTCTAATAACGCCGAACAAGATACCATTGATGTTAAGCAAGATGCTGAAGAACATGGAGAAGAAACACGCGGTTATACATTTGACGAAAGACAAGAACAAAAGGCAAAGAAACTAAATCAACAGCATGATCAAGAGGATAAAATTAATTCTTTAGCTGATCCAGATTTAATGGTACCATCAAAAGATTTTGAAAGAAATGAAGAGAAAATCGAACAAATAATGAATGAAGACACACCAAATATAATGGCAGCTGAAGATTTATTAAAAACAAAACCGTTGGAATTGCCTCTAAAATTAATTCTGTTAACGGTCAAAACAGTCAACGGTGGTATACTGCATGCAACATCAAATGGTAAAGTGACATTCGGACATTGGGATTCACTTTGGCCCTATCCGGTGCCGTAAACCATCTGTTTTCCGAAATGGGGCCAATCGTGTATGCAAAGGCTTACAATACCAAACAAATCCTGCCCCGTCATTAGAAAAAACAGTAGATGAGCGGGACGCTCATCTTGTAGGAATGGGCGTGTTAGGAAGCGTAGAAAATCTCATTCTCTGACGTAATGTTCTCGTTCTCTGATGTAAATATCTTTGTTAATAAAATATGAAAACATAATTCATTGTTGGCACTGACACAAAGGAGAATACAAGTTACGTATAAAACGCTACGTAACAACCATTCACGTGTAACCACATCAAGTGCTCTGAATCTGGAAGAAATAATTTAGAAAAAAATAAAATGATCTGTAGATCAAAAGATCAGCAAGCAGGCTTCTGCATTATCACATTTGGGAATCAATATACATATAATAACCGGTGTATTATACAGTGTAATCGGATACTAACAGCATCTATTTACAGTGCGTTAAAGTATAAACTTAATGGCACAGGGTCCCTAAACATACTCTCAAACTTTCTTAATTCCTAGAGGATACCTTCAAGGGCCTGAGTTGGAAATAATTCGCGGGTTGAATCTGTTTTGATGAAGTAGTGAAACTTTTAGGTAAATGGAATTTTTTAAAAATTTGTTTTCTAAAGTAATCCTTTCTTAGAAAATTATGTCAATCGATGTAACTTTTTATACTGAACATGCCATAATGAAAGTTTTTTTTTGATTTCTTGGCCAAGATTCTGTCCCACGAAATGTCCCAAGATCTTGCGTTTCTTGGGCAAGAAAGTACCATTTCTTTTTGGTGCATTTCTTGGGGACAAGATCTTGGCTCAAGAATCCAATTAATTTAATTTCTTGCTCCAAAAAATATAAAATCAAATTTCTTGACCCACGAAATAAGCAAAGAGATCTTCTTTCTTGCCTCGTGAAGTATAAGAAGCGTAAGAAACTTAACTTCTTGCCCAAGAAATCGGATTTCTTGGTCCAAGCAACGTGAATTTTGAAGAACAATAAAGAAAAACATGTGTTATGCGTTACTGCAGCCATCTGAAATAACTTTATCTTCTCAATAAAGATTAATAACAGGGTAGAAGTTTCTTCATGAAAGAAACTTAGCATATTGATTCAGAGACCGACCAAACGCCTGTTATCGAGGTAAGTGTTAGTGCGAGTTCGCCGCTGTAACAACGACAGCAATAATGGCTGTTTATCTGGAAAATATCACTAGAAATTCTAGTGTATAGCCATTTTGATCTACCTCAAGCTCGATTTGTTGACATTATGTAAAAAATTTTAACGCAATTTTTCAAACAAAGAATAAGATAAAAATTAGTTATATCCAATGCGATTTATTGCAGCAAACTGCTGGGATCGGACGCGGCAGAGGATTTAAGAGAGAATGTTCGGCGAAAGTAGACTGATAAAGAATGAATTCATAAGGTCAACAGTATCAATCACAGAGGTGTAAATATGGATTGATGACGAATTATCTCGTAACCTGATATGTTCTCTCCAAACTCTAGTAACAATATTTAATTTTTTAGTAGGACAGTAAGAAATATTTCTCAAAGACATTCGCGTATAAAAAGAGACAGTTCAAATACAGGAACGTAAACATTCAACAAACAATTTATCTTAACGTCAATTAATTCTTATGAAGCGATCTTTATGAAAAAGAAAAGGGTATGTATTTTTTTGATCACCAAATTTCTTTCTGTCGAAATGATCACCAAAAAATAACACTTTTAATCACTAAATCAATTAAAGAAAACTTAAATTAAAGAAAATATATATAAAAAGAATATATAGCAATTAATTAGCAATGATTACCAATTAATGCGTAGACAGACAAGAAAAAGAATATAAAAAAGTTTAATTTTTTAATATACGACTGACTCTGAAGAAATATTCTATATTCAAATATATACAAATAAATATATTAATGTTATATTTTTGTAGCCCACCATAAACTGCAAGTCTGATCTTATGCTGACTTTGCTAGATTGAACTAAGAACCTCAATTTTTTGTCGTTTCACTGCTAGAATGTTGTCGAGTGGCTCACCCTCACCACTCGCCACTAAAACAATAGCTTCCCATATCATCATCAACCATAACCAGGAAAGACAAACATTAGCCATTGATACAACGAACAAAATTTATTTTTTTATGTCGGTTAATTTTTCGAAGTTAAGTAAAGAAAAATGAATTTTACTTGAATCATCTTGATGCATACTTTATCAGTTTATGACACTTACCCTTTCCGAAATCGAAAGACGAGTAGTATTGACCTTTGCGTGACCTTATCTTTTTTTTCTATTACGGAGAAAACACAGATAAAAAAAGCTGCTTCTTTTTTTTAAGCAAACATTAAATAAGTTGCGTTTGTTCTCTCTTTTTTGGTTTTATTACTTCAAAACATTTTATTTTCTTAGTCCTTATGTTCTCGATTATCATGAAAAATTGCTGTGTTTTTCATTGTGAAAAAGTTACGCAGTTGTTGAAAAAATTCTGTTGAAATGAGAATCTTCTTGATCGATCATTTTTAAATGTATAATCCAAATATTGTGTGCATTGGACAGTTGACGGATATTTCCTATGCGAAAGACACTGCCCATGGCAAACAGAACTTCATCTTCAAACATTGAATAGTGGGAAATGTTGGCATATGGACGTGCATGAGCTTCCGAATCTGTTTCAATGCTAAATACGACTGAGGTCAGATCGGGATTTTCAAGATATTGGCCGGCATACATAAGAGCGATTTGCATCGATGTCGTCGTGGACAAGAATGTGTTAATCGAAATGATACTACCTCGAAGTTCGTTGAAACAATCAAACTCCTTGCTCGACATCAATTGACCACGATAAAATGTCTCTACTTTTCGCTTTTGAAAAGACGAATGCTTCGCTTTGTGTAATCCATTCAATTGATCATAGAGATCAGTGAGAACATATCGCAGTTTAAACATGGCGTCAACGTTACTTGAGCGAAGTGCGTGGTTAATAGATCGCGAAAGAAAAGAGTTGCGTGTGTACCATTGTAGAACTGCATACGGCTGGTAAGTATTTTCAAAGTCAGCGATGTCGGCATGAGTTACTTGATTGTCACTATACGCACGACGAAATTCAGCAATCATTTCTGCTCCTGATTCGGGTGTGCGCGGCATGCAGAGAATAGTATCAATTGTACGTTGATGAGCCATAAACAAATGAGCTTGTTTTGGGTCATAAACGGTCAATGTAGTCAAAATGGTCAAAACAGTCAAATTGGTGTAAATAGTCAAACTAGTAAAGGTGGTCTAAATAGTCAAAACTGTCAAAGTAGTCAAAATGGTCAGAACAGTGAAAATAGTCCAAATAGTTAATATAGTCGAAACAGTCAAAATTGGCAAACTAGTCAAAGTGGTTGAAATAGTCAAACTAGTCAAACTGGTCAGAATTGTGTAAATAGTCAGAATTGTTTAACCCTTTGGGTACGGAATCCCACAAAAGTAGCGACACCCCTCAAGCTCAAGAATCATGATAGCTGGGGACGTTATATATGTAATATATATTAAGACTGTTGTTTGCGGATAGCTTTGTGATGGGTCCTTCGTTCTTTTTCCTTAATATCCATATATATCATACAAGTACCATATATATATATATATATATATCTTGTGACGTATATTATTCTTTCTGTATATAACGTGAAGAAGAAAAGAAATAAGAAATCAGTAATTTTCGCAGCTCTAATGTAAAAGAAAAAAACTCTATCGTCGTTTTCCTTCACTCCAACTACGCGTGGAATGCCCCGACAGTCAACTCACACTCAGCCTCCCGATGCCCCCCGCCCCCGCACCGCGCCGCAGTATCTCTACTTAGTTATACTCAAAACACTGTGAATAGACTAAACAGTTAAAATAGTACAAATATTCAAATTACTTATGATAGTCCAACTGGTCTACATAACCAAAATAGTGAAAATCCATACATACATACCTGAAACAGTGACACTAGTCTAAATAATAGTTGAAATTCTCTACATCGGCTCAATAGTCCAAACAGTCTAAGCAATCTAAATGATCAAAACCAACAAAGCAGGCGAATTAGTCTAAATACTCTAAAAAGTCAAAACACTCGAAGTACTCTACATAGTCTCAATAGTCACAACAGTTAAAGTAGTTTTAATAGTCAAAATGGTTTAAACAGCCAAAATAGTCAAACTACTGAAAATGTTCTAAATAGTCAACATAGTCTTAATAGCCTAAAAAGTCGAAATAGTCAATATAGTCAAAACAGTCAAACTTGGCAAAATAGTCACACTAGCCAAAACAGAGGCAGCTACACTCTATGGAAAACAATGCCCTACGTGTCAAATGAAATATTACTATAACTATACATCACTTGATGGTAAGAAAATATGCTCTGTTAAAAGTGAAACTGAAATTGTCATTGGCTACGAGAAAACTATTTTGTATCAACTAGATTATGATATTTTGCACAAACACTCAGGTTTCTCGAATTTTTGTCATGCTTATAATTTATGTTGTGAACAAGCGAATATCAAAAATAAATATGAGATGAATCGTTTTCATATTGAGAAAACCTGGTTCCTGTGGCGTTTATCCATTTTTTTACGCGATGTTAATGTATATGTGATTATACCAACAGGAAGCGATTTCCACAGAATGTTGCTTCGGATAAGAAATCGATGTTTGCAATTGTTTACTGAACAATGGGGGTCAATTGAACATGAACGATATTGTACGCAAGAATGTTCGCCATTGCTTGTGTTAGACGGACATCAAAAGGCTACTCGTAGAGTGCGCTCTGTTACAGATCTTGTGATACCGAGTGACGAATTAGGATATACAAAGGTCGGTTGCTCGCATACCCCCATGTATAAACATTAAAACTGTTTCGATCACAGGGATATGCAGCAAGCTTTAGATATACCGAAAATTAAAAAGGGCATGTATTTAATTGTTCAATATTTTATTATGAATGTTCAGTAAATTTTTTTTCACACGTTCAGTAGTTTTAGCTCAGTAAATAATTCAAAAAGTTCAGTAATTAATTCAAAAAGATTCAGTACTTAGTTTATTTTTGTTCAGTTTTTTAATAATTTATTCCAGTAAAAAAACTATAGTCACAATTAACAGAAATTTATTGTATTAGTAATGCTTTTTTGGATTTTGTTGGTCTACCACGACGTCTTTTTTCACCAATTTTAACATTTTTAGCAGCAGGTGGTGTGTGTGGATGTGGGGTATGGCTGTGACAGTTTCTTCATGCTCACCTAAAATCCACACCCACACACCCTCAGTCAACGTGGACAACCATTCTTCTATTTACATCAAAATATATTCATCGAAAAAGTAAAAGTGATTACTGATAAAAATCAGCAAACTGAATTAATTACTGAAACTTTAATTTTAATACTGAGAAATTTATTAATTTACTGAGCAAAAAATTAGTTAACTGAACAAACGCAATAGCCCAAGACAAAATATTTTCTGCAATTCTGATAAGAACCTTACCTGATTCTTATCAAATTCTTATATAAGATTACGCAGAAAAGTAAATGGAGTTTGATAAGAGTCTTATAAGAATCTGATAAGAATGTCATAAGAATTTTATAAGAAAGTAATAAGAAGGAGAAACAATGTATATATGTCTAAAAATGAGTACTTTCTATGTCATTCCTCCCTATTTTGCACAGATGTGGACATTTCATTACTGGACACGATGCCTCAAGACAACTTCACAGAAAATTTCTTTTCTTGTGTAGTTATAAAAAGGATCCTTGTAGCAATAGTTATCTACCAGTACATCTGAATATCCTTGTATTGCTAAAGCTATGTACATGAGAATTATGCCTCCAAGTGTCCTCTTTCGAACGGTGAAAACCGCAGGTCTCTGTCATGTTCCTATCAAAACAGTATTACTGTTTTGATAGTGTGTGAATAATCATTTACAATAATCATTCACAATACGGTAGTGTGCCTTCTGTTTTGAAACGGGTAGTAGTTTGACGCAACAAAATCCACGTAGCTACAAAATCCGCGTAGCTGATAACCAAGCAACGAGCATTGACATTGATGATGTTTTGAAAGAAAATGAAAATGCATATATATTGGGTTATGTTAGACATGGCACTACATGTACAGAATTGAACACAGAAACTCATTCACCATTACAGATATTAACCATTATTAGTAATTATGAACCAAAAAAATTATCTTCTACATATCGTAATTCTACAGGTGCCACAGCAGTTGGAAATGAAGACAATTTATCGGGAAAATCTGAAAATAATATTGATATAGATGAATTATATTATACTACTATATTATCAGGTAAGCATTCTTGTAAATATGAGGAACAACAGTATTTTCTGTTTTCTTTCAAGATCATGGATTTAACGACGCACCGCTGTTAATTCAACATTCACAAAATATTAAAATGCAGTCAATTCAAAAACTACGACAAGATGATTCTGCGTAGTTGTTGATTTGCTGTATGTTATAAGCCTTAATTTTTTTTAGACCTCATCTGTTTATGGCAGAAAAATGATGTTCAAGAATCCAGAGGAGAAATGAATAGTGTTTCTGCTGATTTTAATCAAGTTGAAACAATGAGAGCTGATCTAGGTTTAACATTTGATCAAAAGAATAAAGGTAATGCGCAATAAAATCTCATAGTTTAGGTGTGCAGCTATTTTTCTATTTAGGCAAGGAGAAATCTTGCGTGAAAGCTCACGAGGGAACCTATCCAAGTGGTACCTTCCGATTTCATTCGTTCATACGTCGATCGATAGAGGATAGTGAGCTCGTAAAAAGCCTAAAAGGATTCGGGCCGTTGACTCTTAAAGACCATGTTTTTCAGAATCTTTACAAAATAACCAAAACCTTTTCTTAATGAGGCATGATTGTAACTCGTGCATTTCTGATTAAAACGAGACATCTCCCAGTTCTACACTACCTTTCTTTATAAAGTTATAGAATTTACAAGAAAAGCCCTAAATGGTCATTGCAGCTTAAAGCTACAGAAATAAGAAGGAGAAATTAATTTAGGGCTTTTCTTGTAAATTCTATAACTTCGCAAAGAAAGGTAGTGTAGAACTGGGAGATGTCTCGTTTTAATCAGAAATGCACGAGCTACAAGTATGCCTCATTAAGAAAAGGTTTTGGTTATTTTGTAAAGATTCTGAAAAACATGGTCTTTAAGAGTCAACGGCCCGAATCCTTTTAGGCTTTTTACGAGCTCACTATCCTCTATCGATCGACGTATGAACGAATGAAATCGAAAGGTATCACTTGGATAGGTTCCCGCGTCAGCAGAAAAACGAAAAAAAGAGAATTGGCTGAATGTAGTAACATTGAACGATGAACAACTCAATGACAATGATCAATTTCTATAAGCTCACGAAACAGGCACGAAACATCAAGTATTACAGCGAGAAAGATGAAGTTCTTGTGTGCAACCATCAAGCTTAACAGCAAAAACGGTGAAGTTCTTTCGGAGAAACAAATAGTTTTTCAAGGAGAAAGATGAAGTTCTGGTGGAGAAACATAGAGTTTTCCAGAGAGAAAGATGAAGTTCTGGAGCAGTAGCATCGAGTTTCACAGGGAGAAAGATGTTCTTGCCGAGAAACATCGAGTATTGGAGGAAAAACGGCGAGGTTGTGGTGGAGAAACTTCGAGTTTTACCGGAAGAAACATGAAGTTCTTTCGGAGAAACAAATAGTTTTTCAGGAAGGCAGCTGAGTTTTTTTGGGGAAAGATCGAGGTTAGCAGTAAAAAGATGAAGTTCTGGCGGAGAAACATCGAGTTTTACAGGAAGAAAGATGAAGTTCTTGCGCACAGACAAATAGTTTTTCAGTGATAAAGATGAAGTTCTTTCGGAGATACATCGAGTTTTACAGGAAGTACGGTGAAGTTATTGTGCAATAAAACCAAATCATTTTTACTATCTAGATTGACTATTTGTAATGCTATTGTTTCTCCATATCTTAACATTAACAAGTAAAAGAACTGAGAACCATAGAAAGTGAAACGGATACCAGTAACATAGGCAATGAGAATATAAATTAATACCAAGCTATTGGCAGCTGAAACCATAGTGAGAATTAAACAGGAAAGAAGTTTCTGATTAAAGAACTTTGCAATATTAAATCGTCAATATGAAACTAAATGAAATCAAGAGAGAGTACTTTTTTACGTGACACTTATTTGGTAATCTGATACTTATTTAAGTCCCACCAAACGCACCTGCGTCTCTCTCATCCACTATTGGCACACTTTTAGTAATATCATCAAGAAACCTTTTCATTCTCTTTGCTATTCCTATCAGCAAAAACATTTTCACAGTCATGAGTATTTTATTGTTCGCAAAAACAGTTTCAATTTTGTTTCTAAGGAATATGTGAAGCGCTAACGATTTAAACTTGAGATCGAGTCTAGCTTTTGATTCTGTTTACTGGGCTTCTGCTGTTCGTTTTTTTGTCGAGTACCAGCAGACGAAAACTACCCTTAAGTCGACTAGTTCTTTTTAGCTTCCCAGCAAAAATATACCAAAAAAAGGGGAAGCCTCCAAACTATTAAATTCACACTGACTCAGTGAAAACCAGTGCTGATAACATGAATTTGAAATGCAGCTAACTTAATGTTAAACGTTGTGTTGAATACCATAGTGGGAATTAAACAGTAAAGGAAGTTTCTGATTGAGGAACTTCGCGACATTAATTCGTCATTGTGAAAGTAAATCAACTGAAGAAGTACCTTTGTACAGTTATTGGGCAATGTGACAGAACATTTTCACTCGAACTCATGAGTATTCTATTAAGTTTCGACTTTACAATTAAAATTAATCCAGATTTTATAAAGCAGAATCAATTTCTTTTAATGCTTTAGTCAACAAACTAGATAACGACAATGACTGTAAACTCTAACTCCTGATATGATGTTTGATGTGATTTTGATACACTTTTTTTTTATATACTTTTTTTCTTACTAAAGCATCAAAATATATTCTCCTTCATAAAATCTTGATTAATTTTAATTGACTTCAAACAAACATCGAGATTGCGAGTATATTCAAATTCGTGTCACAAAAAGCGACCGACAAACAAGCTTGAGAAATTGCAGATAAGAATTGGCATCTGTGGAAGAAAGCTGTTGTTTCGGCAAAGATTAACTTAAGCAAATCGCAGGTGTGCTTGGTAACGTTCCTTTTACAAGAAGAACGGAAAACATAACCGCTTGTTCTTGCTTCTAAAAATTTTTATTGTTTCGACGAGATGCGTTCTCGCACTGAACATTATGCAACATCACTTTCTTGTGATATCTGACACCAGTTTCGTTCACCATCAGAAGTTAGAGGACTTTATAATCATTGTCGTTACCTACCTTGGTCGTTAATTACCTTGATTTAATTCTGCTTAATACCGCCTTTATTGGTATATTTTTGCGCAAAAGGCAAAGAGAACTACTGTCCTTTTCACAAGGACAGTAAAGGACAATGCCATCGCTTTGCTTTTTGAATAGCTTTTGATAGAATCCAGCTAGAGAGCTTCGGCTTTCGCCATGCGAAAGAGGAGACATGAATGCATCTTTCCATCAGTAGCAACCTGTTCAGAAGTGTTTTCTAAAAGAATTTATTGGAGATGTCTGGAAAGTTAGGCCGCGTGTAAAAACTTTTCAATAGGATTGTATCGATTTTCCTCCATGCTAAAAAATGTTGTAATAATCTACTACCAACCGAGTTGTACGAATATTCTGTTTTGCAGACTGTTTTCACGTAGTATTAAAAATTGCACTATCCATTCAATAGACGTCACAACGACTTCAAAACTAGTTCTAACGCTCTAAACGTGATTATAAGACCGAAAAATCAAAAAGCGTCCTTTTGTTATTAGGATTTCCAGAAACGCTTTTTGGAAAACATTAGAGCTTTGCAAAATATCTCTTCAGATTTCGGATACGCGGAATATAGAACAGCTTGAATATTCTGTATGCTGAAGTTTTGAAATCGTTCTGACGTTTACTCAGTGAATAGTGATTTTTTTAATATTAGGTGAAGACAGCCATTAAACCGAAATTTTCGTAAAGCGAGGCTTTTATTTATGTAGAGTTGAAAATGAAAAAGTTATTCATTAATTTTGATTAACCTTCAGAATCATATAAGAATGCCAGGCGAGCGATGTAAATTAAGCACAAGTATATTCTTTCATTTATTCACCACATTAAAAGAGAGCTTAGTAATCAAAATTTATAGTTTATAAGTATCTCAATTCTCGTGAGGAAGGTTCATGACTTTTTGTAGAATAATTCTTTCTTCCTAATTTTATTAAAATATAAATTTATTTCTTGACGTTTCGAACTCTAACGGAGAGTCTCTTATCTCTTTAGAGTTCGAAACGTCAAGAAATAAATTTGTATTTTAATAAAATTAGGAAGAGAGAATTATTCTACAAAAAGTTTATAAGTATTATTCCATCTTCTGTGTGTTTTTTTCTTTCTCGAACAATGTTCTTAATCATACTAATTATTTTGATTACTAACCTCTCTGTTAATGTGGTATATAAATGAAAGAGTAAACTTGTGCTTAATTTACATGGCGTGGCATTCTTATATGATTCTGAAGATTAATCAAAATTAATGAATAACTTTTTCATTTTCTACTCCACATAATTAAAAAAGAGCCTTGCTTTCCAAGTCAAATAATCATCAAAAAGAAATAGAAAAAGACGAATAACTCGAAATCGGTAAGTATATGAAATGAGCCACTGTTGACACCCACATTGGACGCTTACCAGTTCTATATTTTACTTGCGCCTGAAATCTTCCATCCCCTTCCCAAGTGACACGCTGATGGTATTGTCGTACCAGTTCGCCACTGCCATATCCAGTTTTTTATCTTTGTTTAAATCCCCTATTATCACGAACTATGCGGCGCTACCACTTACATACTTCATTTGCGCTTGAAAGCCTCGATCCCTATTTCCAAGTATCACACTAACGGTATTGTCATTGTAGTTAACCACGGTCAGATCAGTTTCGTTATCATTATTGAAATCACCTGTTGTAATATAGGTTGGGTCGTTGCCACTTGCATACTTGATTTGCGCTTGAAAGGTTCCATTCTCGTTGCCGAGCAGCACGCCATGGTAGTATCGTAATAGTTCACCACTGCGAGATCCAATTTCTTATCATTGTTGAAGTCACCTACAGTCAAAGATCTTAGACCGAAGCCAGTTGGATGCTGGATTTACACTTGAAAGCTCCCATCCCCATTCCCGAGGAGCACACCTTTTGTATTGTCGTTGTAGTTGGCAACTGCAAGATCCACCTTGTTATCATTGTCGAAGTCATGTGATATCACATAGTATGGCTTACTGTCAGTTGCATACTTGATCTGCTCCTGAAAGCGCCCATGTCCATTCTCAGTAACACACTAGTGCTATTTTCCCCATAGTTAGTGACTGCCAGATCGGTTTTGTTATCATTGTTGAAGTCACCTGATATTAAAGACTGTGTGCCGTTACCACTCACATGTGTAGTTCTGGACCGAAAGTCGCCATCGCCATATCCAAGTAGAATGCTGATGCTATTGCCGTTGTGATTGGCCACTACCAGATCCTTTTTGTGATCATTGTTAAAATCACCTGTTGTAACATAGGTGGGGCCGTTG